TGCTCGTGGTACCAGAACCATCCCTGGCCCTGGCAGGGAAAGGTTAGTGGGGAAATGTGCTTGTGGTACCAGAACCATCCCCGGCCGGGCCAGTACCCTGGGCTGGGGGACACCACGGGGACGTGCAGGGGGCCCCCGGCTGTCACCCCCTAAACCTCACACCCGGCCTGGCTCCACATTAGGAACACTGCTCATCTATCACAAGGAGCCAACGCTGCATGGCTGCACCGGGGGAGAGCAGCCTCGGTAATTATCTCCTCTGCAGACGAAACAGCAAACAGAGCAGCTTTATCCTGACAAACCCCGACGTTTGGGCTCCCTTAAGCAAAATTAACAGCAACACCAACCTGCACGACCCCCAGGCTGAACCCTCCCGACACCCCTGCGCTGCTCAGACAGGCTGAACAGGCACAAAGCCTGCTCTGAATGCGGAGGCACCGCGGGTTTTTATTTTGTAAAGATACGAGAACCTACTTAGGGAAAGAAAAACTCTTGTGCAGATATGAGTCTAAAGATATTCCATCTGAAGTAAACATCATTCCTCTTTTATCCAAATTTATAAACAACAAATGTACAATATTTTTACTCAGCTTGGCAGCTGGAGGAGAGGTTGTCAGCAAGCATTCTTTTTTTCAAATAAATTAATCCTTACTCTGGTGGTTTGAGATTATGCACTGTATTATACAACAGCGCCTTATCAGGCCTCATCAGTGAAGATGGAATTCATGTCTGTAAAATGCTGCAGGCAATCATAGTTTCATATTTTATCATGTTGATAAGGATATCGCAAATTCTCTGAAGCATTTCAAAACACTTAAATGAAAAAGGAGAAATGCAACTAAAAGGCTTTTTATATGGTTTGTTGTGGGTTATTATGAGTTATTTATAAACCCAAAAAGAAAGATTTGACATTTCAAATGTAAAAGATTTGAGTATTTAATGGTACTTTTTTCCCTTTACAATTGAACATCTTCAATCACATTTTAAATCATTAATATTTACTCTCATGGCAAGTGGCAACCCAAAACGGGGGGAAAGCCTCCCCCTCCCTGTGGCTGCAGCAGCTCACCCTGGGTGTCCCCATTTCCCTCTTCCATGGGTTCCTGAGGCTGCTCAGCACCCACACCACAATCCACAGCATCTGGGAAACACCAGGGTGAACCCCAGGATGGGGGAGAGGGTCTCTGGACAAGGAATTCTCTACAGTAATTTGAGAGTCCATTAATATGAAGGAAAACAAAGAAAAGTCCCTTCTCAAGCAAATATGAAACATTAAAAAAAAATTAAAGCATTAATGGTTGCAGCTGTAAGTGGGAGAAGCGAGCTGGGGATGAGGGATGAGCAGGCTGTGCCTTGGAGCCCTCGCCGAGAGGCTGCTCCCATGGGGTGTTCCAGCCTGGGCTCCCATGGCAAAGGAAGAACAGATCTCCGTGTTTGTTTATCCCACACAGCCTCGGGCCCGGGCACTGTCACATCCCATCGCTCACAGCCAGCAGGAGGAATTTGGCACCTATCACCATCGAGCCCATAATCCCTCGATTTACTGGCATCTGTTTGCCAGACTTGCTGCTCGCTGCCATTTGGAGTAATAGGGCCAAAGGTACTTCTCAAACCCAGGAAAAAGGGGCACCCTTGGAATGGCCAAAGGTGTCTCCACATCCATCAGAGCCAGTGCTGATGCCTGACACAGGGGGGAACAGCCCAGCAGAGTCTCTGTCCAGCTGTTGGGCCAGGGAGCATCCCCAAGGCTGTTAACTTTTAACTCATAAGGTGAAACACAGAAAAATTCAAATAGTTTCTAGTCACAGCTCTGCAATTTCTCTTTTCTTACACTACAAGCCTTACAGCAGCACCAAGAGCTATCCTGCGGTTCATCCCCAAAGATGTGATATTAAACAGCACTATTGAAAGAGCAATTAATACAGGTATTAATGACTGCATTTACCTGCCACTGTGCTTATGGCTCTCCAAACCACTGTTCCCCCGGGTACTCACATTTAAATTATGTGGACTGTACAGTGAATTTCCTCCCAAGCCATCATTGTATCCTCCCGTCTGATTGATAACATGACGCAGGGTATCCACCTTAAAGCGAGGGGAGACAGGATTCATCATTCCAAATCTATTAAAACATCATCACTTACAATAGGTAACATTTTGAATTATGTGAGCCAAAAGGGTTTAGCATCTTCTATGAAAGGCAAATTTATCAATCAAGACTGACTGGCAGAATTTCAACCAATCCATGCTCATTACAGCCCATACATCTCTGCTTCTCACACCACCAAACACAACTTCCTCCCAGCACCGTGGCCCGCAGCTCCTTCCCAAGTGTCTGCAAAGTGCTGGGAATGTTCACGCGCCTGTCTGTGCTTGCAGGTATGGAGGAGATGATGGTGTGTACACAGAAACCATGAGCCAGCCCTTCTGAAAGGACTGCAACAGTGACTGACAATCAGATGTATTGGGATAGCCCTCTCAGATGCATTCTGACATTTAAACAAATAAATAAATAGATGAATGAATGAATTGATAAATAAAAGTTTGTCCAATAAATGAAAGAAAGGTGGGTTGTTTTTGTTTTGAAAAAAGGGGGCAGAAGGGGAAAGAAAGGAAAAAAAGAAAGAAACTTTCACTGGATTTACAGTGTCCATGGAAGTCAGATGCACCCAATCCCATTCCATGAGCTCAAGCCAGAGCCGAATGCATTCACAAAGCTTAAAATTTCAATCAGAAAAAAATCACTCTTTCCTTTATATTTGTGAAATTCAGTGCCAGGGTAAGAATAGGCCACATCCAGAAATATGCAGCCTCCTCTCTGCAGCGAGGCCCAGACCAGTTAATAGAGCCAGAGTAAGGTGGAATTTTTAGCCCAAACCCTACCCTGCCAGAAAGGCCCTGCTGGGGGCATTTCTCCTACCTGTGACTGCACATTGGCTCCGACTTGGGACCCCTGGTAAGAATCCCCATTCAGACTCTGCATGTTCATGAACATGTCCCCAGAATTTGGGAGGTTAAAAGAACCAGAAGAACCTGGAAAGGAAAGAGTTAGGTAGCTGAATAACAGAGAGCTGCAAAAACATAACCCCAGGACCTGAGGGCAGGGGAAGGAGAAGCAGCAGGAGAAGAGAGGACAGGCAGGGCTCAGCAGAGGGGGAGCGTGGCCGGGGGGCCCCCACAAGGCTGGTCCCGAGGGGCTGCCCCAGCTCTGCCCCACAGGAGGGCTGTGCTGGGCAAACCTGGCAGCCCCTGCAGCCCAGGGCAGCTCTTCCCTCTGGAACAGCCCCTGCACAACAGTAAGTTCCCATCCTGGAGCTTTCCCCCAGTGGATCACTCCATCGTGAGGTGCCATCGCCAAACACTCATTTGGAGCCTGTGCTTTGTGTCTCCTTCCAAAGGAAATGGTTGGCAGTTCCCAATTATCCGGTTTATTACCGTCAGAGGAGGAACCTTTTTCTTACTTCCTTTTGGTTAAAGTCTTTTTTTCCCCATGGATCTCCATCCCCTTTAAAAGTTGTTTATAACTAAGTTGCAGCAAAACTTGACTGCAAATAGTGTCAGACACATCTGTGCTTGTGGCAACCTTTGCCCCTGGAGCCCCAGGAGGCGACTCCTCCCTCACATATTCCCTGGCTAATGCAGTGCTCAGACTTGCAAAATGTCATCAAAACACCAGCGAGATGATGCTTAAATACTGCAGCAGAACATGTGGCAGAGCAACTCCAAAATAAAGTTGCATCCTTAGATTTCTATTTATAACATCCACTCCACTTCAAGCAATTCAGAGTTTAAACTCTAATTAGCGCATGCTAAAATATTCCTCTATTTTGTTCTTATCTTGACAACAAATTTAACAGTTCTACAAAACCAGACTTGGAGCTCTGCCCTATTTTATGTTCTTTTCAATGAATGAGAAAAAGCTTAAAATATCTACAGAAACAAAGAAGGTGCCAGAAGCCTGAGCCAGGCAGCCCTTCCCACTGTGGGAATTACATGGGCCCCACTCGCTCTCCTGCAGGACTGTGGGAGCTTTGCTGTGGAACTCCTGGGGCACCCCCGGCAGTGCTCGGCCCTCAGGCTCCAGCCTGGAGGTCCTGGGGCTCGGCACCACTCCCTGTGCCACAACGGGGCTGCTGAGGAGCTGCATCCTCCTCACCCCAACTGAGCCTGTCAGGGCTCCATCGGGGCCCTCGGTGACAGACGGCCCTTTGGGACGCTCAGACACGTCAGATGGGCACGTACCAGAGTTTGGTGTGGTGGGGGAGTTGGTCTGGTTGTTCTGGACAGCGGCGGCCACGGCGTGCGCTGCGGTCACAGCCGTCTTTGCTGCGTACAGATTGGCTTCTTCCTGGAACTTCCCAATGTTCTTCTTGTACCTGATTCTCTTATTGCCAAACCAGTTGGACACCTGCAGTGGAGAGAGGTGGGAAGGGTGAGGGACACGAAGCGCTTGGCTTGGAAAAGCAGGATGTTTTTGAGATGTCATGTTTGGACCAGCAAACGTATGCCCCAGACCCCAACCTGTATCTGCTCAGCACTGACCCAGGATCAGTCAAACACCACTGTGGGTGTGAGCAACATCTGGCTCCACTGCTCTGCTGGCAAACTGAGGCACAATGGGTGACTCTGACAACAACACGTATCCTGGAGCTTGCCACTGAGCGCACCATTGTCTCCTACTACCATGGGCCATTTGTCAACAAAACTGTTGCAAGACCCCTAAAGCTGCTCCTGGAGGACCAAGGTCTGGTTCAGGGAGGGCGAGCAGGCAGTGAGCGCAATTGTTCTTTATTTTTGGGCTGGAACAACCTTGGCAGCCCACTCACAGAATCGTGTTTGGTTGGCTGAAAATGAAAGGGATCATATAAATCAATAATGGCTGAAAAGTCACTTTGTCATGTCCCTTTGAAGATGCTGTACTGAAGCCAAGCTGGCTCCTGGGGCACCGGCTATTAACCCACGCAGGGGTCACGGCTGGAGCTGCTCAGGAAAGTTCATACAATCTTGCTCAGGGGCTTTGTTTAACTTCAGCTGCTGTAACAGAGCACCTAAATAACAAACACAGTTTGGAGCACGGACAACAGCCATCATGGCAGAGACACAAAACAACTGCAACACTCCAGCAGTAAAGGGGAAGGGACCAGTGACTGCCCCACGATTATCACCCAGCTGCAGGGCACGGCAGGGGCTGAGGTCCCGTCACAGAGCCCAGTACAGGACCCTGCTGAGGCAGGAGGCAAATCCTGCTGTATTTGATGCAGCGCAGCTTTTGTTTAACCACAATTAATGGAAAGCCTCTAGCTTTTGCTGGTAGCACAGAAGGCACCTTATACATCCTGCTCCCCAGATAATACTCCACTGTATTCTATATATTGCACTTAATATCACCTTGTCAGTCACAGAAGCAATAATACATTAATGAAACCCAGCAAATAATTATTGTGTACAATCAGATTATGCTTTATTAACAGTATCATAATTGAGGAATCTCTGCACATCAACCGTATTGTCCACGGATGTGCGCAAGATCCTCTGTTTATGCACGCCCCTGGACCAATCAAACAACAGCCATCACTAATAAAGGTTTATTTAATTCTCACAGTAAAATTTTAATATCACCAGCAGCCTGGGGAAGCCTCAATGCGTGGATTTGCTTGACATCAGATCGTTTTCATTCTGCTAGTCCCAATACTTCTTAATCTTTAATATCAAGGCAATTAAAATTAATGGCCACTCATCCAGAGCCACTGTGGGCAGTGTTTCCTTGACATCAATTGTTTGATGGGATTACCTAGAGGTTAAACTAACAAGCAAGGTTTAATTGGAAGCAATGAGAGGAGCAGCGCTCGTACGTTATGTTTAACCCGCACACCACAGCCACAGGAATACCCAGAAACATTCAACTCTCCCTGAGCAAAGCACACACCCTGAGCTGCAGCACAGCACAGCACGGGGGCTGCTGGAGGAGCCACAGCTCCTGGGGCAGCTGCAGCCACCACCCCACTCCCTCTGCCCAAGGACACAGGTCAGTGCAGGGCCCTGGTCTGGGGACACGTGGGGCTGGGGCTGACACGGGCAGCTGGACCTGGCCAGGAGGGCTGGGCACTGCTCCCGTGGGCTGTGCCAGGCAGGATTTAGGATCCCTGCCCAACTGGAGCACACCTTGCCCTGCTCGTGCCACTGGCACCCCAGGGATGACCAGGATGCAGCTGCTGGGCCCCCGTCAGCACCGGGACCCGGCTCCTCGCCCGGCCCTACGCTCACCCCAGACATGGAAGTCCTCTCCATCACAAGCTGCCTCACAACACATTTTTCATTGAAACAAACTATCTCTTCACATAAAAAAAACAATGAACATCTTTCTCCTCCTGATCATTGAAGGCCAATTAATTAATTGGGCTTAATTGTATATTACATTTCAAACAATACTGTTGCACTTATTTATCATGTTAATTGCAATGTTAAATAAAAAGACAATAAATTATTACTGAAATCATCAAGATGCCTAATGTGGGATTTGGGATGGGGCAGGCCTGCCTTGTGTCTCCACAGTGGCTGATTTCCTGGGATAAATCAGTGCTCATTCTGCAAAGATGCAGCTGACACAAGATCATCACTGTTGGAATCAGGGAACTACAGATTCATGGATCACAGAAATCTCTCCATTGTGTTTCCATGTTTGGAGCACACAGGTTTTGTTCCGCACCTAAAAAATGGCACAAACCAGAAAATGCTGAAAATCAGTGTGGCACAGTTATGGTCCATGATCTAAACCCAAGAATTTTTACCTCTAGAACTATTTCATTACGCTGCAGCTTTTTTTCCCTTGCTTCCCACATGGAGTCCAGGGGTAAGAGCCCCTCCATCCACGGCTCTCCCTGTCAACCTGCTCACAGAAACAGACTCTGAAGCAGCAGGGACCAGAGGGGTGCTGGAAACCAGCTCCTGCATCCTTTCTTTGAAAGGATGTTAAAAATATTCCCTTGTCAACCACATCCTTCTTTTGTTTGAAGCAGTGAAAGATGTTATTGCTGTACTCCACTGCCACGCTCTCAGCACTGGCTGTGCCCTCTCTCCAGCCCCTGTGATGGACTGATGGTCGTTCATGACACCCTGAAAGAGGCTCATCTGCAAAAGTAAAACACATCAGCCATGGTAGGGGAGAGCAGATGATACAGTTTATCTCCCTCCAACATGTGCTGATGGGGTAGCTCTAAATTACAGCAAACAGTGTTCGCTGCTAAGGTCACTTTTTCCCCCAGAACTACCTTTTCCATATTCTTAAAAATGAAATTGTGTGAGGTGTTCATCTGAACAGTTTGCCTTTATGCTTTTCTTAAAAAACCTTCTTTACATATTATTTTAAACATCAATATCAAAACTGAAACCATTGATCTCCCATCTGCAATGAAATGGTTCAGGGAGACAGTTTTCTTTGCAGCTCGGTAAAGTGCCATGGCAGCAAGAGTTCCAGTGAGCGACTTAATCTGGGGGGAGGATGACCCAAAACACTCACTAATTAAGTGTCTGAGGGAGAAAATGTTCTGCCCCCAGCACTTACAAGGCACTGACAGCACAAGAGAACAACACCTTGGATCATCACTAGGAGAGGCTATGGAGGAGCCTGGCTCAGCCAGGGAAGGGACAAAGTCTCTTCATCAAAGCCGAGCCACCAGCCCGAGGAGTTTGGGAAGCCACCCATTAACATTATTTATTTCTTCCAGCTCTTTGCTCCTTCAGGGCACCTGCAGCATGGGAGGTAAACGGGGCACAGTGCCAGACACAGCAAGGTCTGAGGGGTGCTCGGTCAAGGCTGGAAAGACACGCTCAGAGATTTTCCAGGAAAGCCCTGAGGAAGGTGTAGCTCAGTCACTCACTTGGATGCCACTGCTTGTCCCCTGCGAGGCTGCTCCTGCCAGGGTTTCAGTGACTGCTCAATTCCCTGAGTTCTGGACTGCATCTTCCCACTTCTGCTGCCAGCCACCAGAGCAGCGTGTGGGGCTGCTCCACAGTGCCTGCTCACAGCTTTTCTGCTACATGGCCTCAAAAATGGATACCCTTTTCAGTACAAGGAAAGACAACTCCAGCCCAGTTTGACCTAGAAAATACCAACTAACCCTGCAGTACCCCCATGAGGCCTCTGGAAATGCCTTTGGAAATCAAAGATTTGGATATCCACGGTATTCATGTTCTCTAGCTTTGACAGCAGATCCATCAGGAACTCAAGCAACCAGCTGATCACAGGCACTCCCTCTCTCTCACAAATGCTCTTCTCCCTTTAGATGATACATGGCCCCATTTCCAGGCTTTCCCACATCATCCTGAGGTTTCCCAAGCCATTTGTAACACCTTGCCAGAGCGAAGCTCCAGCCATTGCCAAGGCCCAGCCCCGTGTCCCTGTGCCCTTGCTCCAGGCTGGCCATGTCACCAGCCAGGCTGAGGATGCTGGACACAATGCAGCTCCTCCCATCACTCACTCAGGCTTCCTAATGGATTCAAGAAACAACTAATTCATGCCTGTATCAAATATTAAAGAGACAAACCTATATTCCTGTCACAGGCTCTCTGCCGCTGCCGTGTTGTTGGACCATCTGCCTGCCTTTGACTTCATTCTACAGCATATACATTAAATCTTATCAAACAACCAATTAAGAAAGAAATCAGATCTATTAGCACTAGAAGCAATCAGTTATGGCATCTCAAATGTTCCATCTCATTTCCTTTAGTCACTCCAGCCTTATCTAGATCTGGTTTTTTATCTGTCCACTCGGTGGGATCACTAACCCCTTCCCTGCCAGGCCCAACTCACTGCTGGGTGTGCAGGGAACAGCTCCTCAGCAGGTCTGGGGGGCTCTTTCCCATGTCATCTCCCTCAGTTACATTTTACCAAAGCTGAAGAACTTCTGGTTCCTTCGAGTTGGTGTTGGTGGTGTGGCCTCTCCTCACTACACAGCAGGCTCAGATCACATGGGAGATTTCTGGACACCACTTACTGAAGGAATTGCCACAAACCATCTCATGCCAAGGACTGAAACCAGCAGCAAAAGGTAGGCTGCAGACCACAGTGTCCTGGCACTCGTGCTGTTTGGCTGGTTCCAGGCATCCCCAGCAGCCCCAGGGATGCCTGAGGGTGTGGGAGAGCAGCCCAGCAGCCACCACAGCTGCCCTGCACCCCCGGGGCTGCAGGGACCTGTGTGATGCTAACAGTGAGGAAGGACCAATGTGGGAGGGAACAAGTTGAATGCTGAATTTCCCTCCAAAAATTCCTGCCCATCACCACAGCCATTTGTAAATGGACTGGGAGAAACTGTCCCCATCTCCATCCTGTACCTTCCCCTGGCACCAGGCACTTCCCACCCTGCTTGGAGAGCGGGACGTGCTGTGTGCCAAGGAGAGAGCAAGGCACACACACGTGTCCTGAGGCAGTTCTGCCAGTGTTGGTACTGTGGGTGCATCCAAAGTCAAGTAATTCCAAATTTGGGAGAGCTGGGCAGCCTTTCATTTGAAAGACTTCAATAAAGTGCCTGAATTTTTCATGCATTCAATGGAGAGCTATAAAGTAAATCTCAACTCAGGTCTTAATTATAAAGCTAAAGGTTGCATTGCTAATAATGCCAATACTGCAGCCTGTGATCATTAATAGTTAACATATGCGCCGCAGGCACCGCTCCTCTCAAGGACCTGAAATATTGATAAGGGAGCTGAGGGAGCAGGGAGGAGCCAGCACAGGCCCTCACAACAGCAAGGGGGTGGCTGGAAAACTTGGAAACTGCCAAGGCACTTCTCTGCTACCCAAGTTCAACCTTCCCCGAGCTGTATGAGCCAGATTTGTGTGGCAGTAATTGGGGTTTCTATCATACAGGCCACAAGAAATGCAGAGTGCTTTGCTTTTGAAGCTGCCTGGTGAGGGAAGGCTCGATGGTGTCACTGGCCTGAGCACCACTGTGAGACATCAGTCCAAGCTCTGTGTGTGCTTTGGCCCACACAGAAAGCAGCTGCAGCCAACCACGGTGCTCCTGACTGGGGAGATGCTGCTTTTCTTGCACTAACTTCACAGGAACAGCTGTTATATGTGGTAAAAAGAGCAAATCTGCCTAATGCAGTTTTGCTACACAGAAGCCACTCTTCAGCATAGCAAGAGGTTGAATTTCTGGCTGGCTTAGAAAAACAGCTTTGAGCAATCAAAGAAATTCTGATCTATAAAGACAGATTTTACATTTGTCAGTAACGCCTTCCCCTGAAACCATGGTCAGCTGTAACAAATGCAGAGCAGAGCCAGGCTCAGCCAGGAACCTCACTGCTGCACAGAGAGAAAGCTGACATGAAGTAGGGTGCTGACCTTGTTGCCTTTTTATTTTTATCTTCCTCTCTGTACACACACCTTTGTACCCCAGCAGAGCCCCAGCCGCCGTGGCACAGTGGCTGCAGAGCTCAGCCACGTCCATCACCCTGCAAACCCCAGCACAGCCAACATGCAGATCTGAAGGGATGACAGAGGTGCTTTGGGCAGGACCAGCTGTGTAATGCTTGCCTCCTCTGGAACCACCTCCCAGAGCCTGGAGAGAGGTGGCAGCATCCCAAGGGGAGCTGGGAGGTTGGCACACTGTGGGGTGCAGGAGGCCAGGACCTGCTCCCCTTGCTGCTCACCTGCGATACCGTGATGCTGCATTTCTTTGCCAGCTCTTCTTTGGCTTCTTCACTGGGGTAGGGGTTACTGAGGTGGGAGTAAAAATACTCATTCAAGATTTCTGTGGCTTGTTTACTGAAGTTACGCCTTTTCCGTCTGAAACGAGAAAAGAAAACCCACAGTTGTTCCTCCAGATGCCAGCGGGTCCCTGTCAGGGTTGGATGGGGGGCAGTGGCCCTCGTTTCTCACGCCTGTGGTGCAGCACAGAAACACAGCAGAGCTGTCCCAGCACCCACCCTCAGCCTGCCTGCAGCCCCTCCACACCCAGGTACCCAGCCCAGCCCAAAGCTCCCAGCCACTGAGTCCCTCTGTGCCAGCAGCAGCCTGACAGAGCTCCTTCCCCTCCTTCCCCTCAGCACAGGTCAGCTGGGGCTCCTGCACAGCTCCCTGGGGCGAGCACAGTGGAGCAGGACAGGGCAGCTGGGCTGCCATGTCCTCACATAGCCCTCCCTGAGCTAATTGGCTTCCGACACCAAGTGGATTTCAGGGCTTTGTGAAGGAGACCCATCTGTGCCCTGCCCTGCCGAGGGCTGTGTGGGGCCTGGGCTCTGGCCCCACGTGGGACAGGCACCAAGGTGTGCCCCTGGTCAGAACAGGGAGCCCTGTGGAGCACACTGGCACGTGCTGCAGCCGGCCCGGGTTACAGTGCAGCGCCTGCACAGCTGCAGTGCCATCCCTCCCTGCTCATGGCTGCTCTCCTTTCGGCACAACATCCTCTGGAAAGCTCCAGTTAAACACTTCCTCGGAGCTCCTTCCCCCAGGGCTGTTGCAATCACTGCCGGCGCCCCAGGCCAGCCGGCAGCCGAGCGCAATCCCCAGCGCGCTCTTGCCGAGGATCACGATGCTGCTAACTGCACTGGATCCTGGAGCAGGCAGCTCCCTCCCTGGAGCTATGTTTATCTCATTACTGTGCTTCCGCTCATTTTGCCTTATTTACCTTTCTCCTTTTTAAAGAAATCACTTTAAAATGTGCATCTGCAGGCTCTACCTTGGCGTTCCTGGAGCTCTCCACAGACATCTCCTCCAACTGCCTGCAATTACCCTGATTTCCCACACCTGCCAGTGACCTCCTTGTTAATAACATTATTTTGCTCTTGTTTAGCTCCTCACAGCTTTCAGGTGTGAAGCGTGAGCTGCTGGAGGAGGGAGGCTCCACATGGTGCCTGCTGCTCCTCCCCGCTCTGCCCGACTCTGCTCCTGCTCTGCCCAGCTCTGCCCGGCTCTGTCCAGCTCTGCCAGCTGCCAGGGCCCTGCTCTGCCCACAGGAGGGCTACAAAAGGAATGGGGCTGGGGATCAATATCCCACCTAGGCCTCCAAACAAATCTGACTGTTCTTATAAACCCCCCTCCTAATCCCTGCCTGCCTGCCCCCCCAGCAGCCTGTAGAGCAAGCAGCCCACTCTGGCTGCAGGGACTGGCTCCAAACTCTGGCAGCAATGTGGGTGTCCAAGGGAGGGAAAACAAGTCCAGTCTTTGCACTAAAATATGTAGAAAAGACCTCACTGTTTCTGAAACCTCTGTGCAGGCTTCTCTGCTTTCACAGCAGCTCTAGGTGAAGGACAAGGGCCCTGGGCTTTGCTGGGACAGAGCAGCCTCTCCCACCCATCCCTGCACCACCAGGCTCTCCCGGGCTGCCCAGAAATTATCTCTTCCCCCCAGAAAGAGGTGGGGACAATTGCCTCTGCCTTACCTGGCATCGAGGAACCTTGATCTTAAAATCATTACTGCTTCACAAGTGCTTTGTTTGAGCTGCATCTGGATGGAGCTGAATTTTCGATGAATGATGCCCACCATCCTTTCAATCTCCTTGGGAGAAATGGGACGTGTCCGGCTCTGTTCTCTGAGGAGGTTCATCACATGTGTAGTAAATTCATTACATGCCTGTGGAGGAAGAAGAGTCTCAGACATGGGTTTGTGCTGTTCCACAAGGACACAAGCTCCTGTTGGGGGAAAGGCAGCACTGGGAACTGAGGGATGTTTGTGCAGCCCTGTCCCTCCGCACACGTGGCCACGGGAGCAGATCCCACACACCCTGTCCAGGAGACACAGGGCTGTCCTGGAGCAGCCAGGGGAGCCAAGTGACCCTGGCACTGCTCCTTCCTGCCATGCTCATCCTTTTCCACATCCCCACATCTCAGTGGAGTGGTTGGATCGGTGCCTGTACCAGCTGCGAGCAGGAGCAGGATTTGAGGGGAGGTGTGAGCACAGCTCAGAGCCAGGGCAGCCCTGAGCCCTCACAGCACTGAGGAACCCGAGACCTTTCTGAGGCACCGTGTGCCCCCTCAGCGGGTGGGTTTCAGTGACACTGTGGCCCACACCAGGCAGCCAAGGCACTGAGAGAGGGAAGGCACCAGGAGCCCTTGATGATCACTCGCCCATTGATATGAACTTTGCCAGGCTGCACTATCAGCAGGAACCCCTTGATACGAGCCTCCACACAACCACGTGGCTGTCACACTGCCATCCTGCCTTCCTCTCGCTGGAACCTGCCAAAAACTCTGCTAGCTCCCCTTTTCTATCAACAGCCAGGCTGCAAAACACCTACACAATGTGTCTGACAACCACATTTTCAAGGATTCTCCCACATTTCAATAGATTATGTGAGGGAAAGAGTTAAAAGTGAAAAGTTTATGCATCTAAAAACTCATAATTTCCTATAACATTTGCTGAACGTCTCACAACTTATTAAGTGAAGCCATCTATGAATGCAAATGCTGATTAGCAATTTGGCAATAGCCCAACATTTGCAGAATTCACATAGCTTTTCTTTAAACCAGTAGTTCATACATGATTAATTAGAACATCTCATTTATGTAGTGTGCACTTTAGCTCATTACTCTAAGTAAAATTCGTTAAGTATTTACATTTAGATAATTAAAATCTGGGTACACCCTTAAGAAAGATGCATACACTTCAGGCAAAGTGATTTTTTTTTTTCTTTACACTACTGAAAGTAAATTACAGGCTAATTTACATCCTTGCAGCACTTGTTGGAGGCAGCACTTGGCGAGGCTGGGCAAGCCCTGGTGCAGAGCCCTTCTCCTGCCCCCACCGAGGTCACGGTGCCAGGGCTGCTCGTGGTCCCTTGGCACCAGCGTGGCTGCCACGGCTCACCCTGCCATGGCTCACCCTGCCACGGCTCACCCTGCCACAGCTCACCCTGCCACAGCTCACCCTGCCACAGCTCACCCTGCCACCACCACCCCTGGACTGCTCAAGGCTCCCTGAGCTCCAGATGAAGGAGTTCAACGTGTCTCATCCTCACTTCCCATCTGTATATTCTCTTATCAAGGTACAACCTGAGCACGCAAAAGCTCAGGTCCAGCCCTCTGACCACGGCAGGAGCATCAGCTTTGGCTCACGTGAGAAACGATGCACAGGGGGAAGGGGACACAGGCACCAAAATGCAGCAGCTCTCCCTGAGATCAGATAGTTCTGACTGTCCCAAAATACAGCTGAACCCAAGACTTTGGCACTGGATGGACATTCTGGGCACGCAGCTTGCCACATGCCCCCTTTTCAGATCTGGGGAATTCAATTTTAAAGTAAAATGGCAACCGTTGCATTAGAAATATTTTCAGCTATGTCTTTTCTATAAGAGATAGAGTATCAAAAACTGGACATTTCAAAGCAAAAGTGAGTTTCTTGCTTTCAAGAAGTAAAAACCTTTCCCTGATTTTACTTGACTTGCCTGATGAGACTTGGTTTGGCTATAACTGCTTGGAGAGCCTGGGTTTAATTCATCTCCAGCTGCACCTCCCCTCTGCAGAGCTGCCTCATGCAGCACGGTGGGGGGAAGCTCAAAAGACTCTGATGCTTTGTCTTGTTTCTCTTGTTTATTTATAGCGTCCAAGCTACTTGATCCCTTTTCCAGGACTATTTTTCAGGCCTCTGCTTGGTGCCCGAGACATTATTAATAATGTCAGGTTATAAGTGATGGCCTTGTTAACCTGCTCAGAAACCTTGTAGGAGCAGGGATGCTCCTGCTGCCTCAGTGCTTCATCACGACGGCACAGATGAGCACAGGGAAAAGAAAGGAAATGGCCCAAAACAGTCTTTAGGGGCAGGGTGGCATCCAGTGCTCTGTGGGGCTGGTGGTGGCCTCTGAGCTGCCACACTTCACCCCAATTTGGGGTGAGTTCAGGAGACATCTGTGAACTCAGGAAGTGGGTTCCCAGCTGCTCCGGGAGGCCTGGGACCCTTACAGTACTTTTGCCTACAGCAAAAAATGTATTTCAGTGTAATTACAGCAGATAGCTTTCAATATGTCATCTCTGTTATAGGAGCTGTAAATTATGGAAGGCGCTGCCTGTGCGCGGCCATTTCTCCCGGCACCCGGTGAGGGAGCGCTGGGCGATGGCGTGACACACTTTCCATTTCTCTTTCCCTTTTTTTTTTTCCTTTCCTGAGTGCATTCCCCTAACTGGCAACAAATATCAGGATCAAACTCGGCCTGGGAAGCGTCCCCAGGAAGGCTCTCTGGTTCCTGCTGCCGTGGCAGTGCCGGGCAGGGACGGCAGGAGCTGCTCCACACACGGACAGGTCTCGGCGTGGGCTCCCCGGTGCTGCAGGAGGGCACCCGCCTCCCACAACCTGCGGTGCCAGGGGCTGAGATGCCAAGCCCTGGCTGCCTCTCGGGCACTGTGGTGAGACAAACCAGCAGGAGACAGTTTGCTGCCAGGCCAGGGAAATTATCATATTTCTGTCGAGCAGCCGTGGCTGGGTGTCAGGATCCGTGGGGAAGTGTGCATGTCTCAGAGCAGCTCCACCCCTCTGCTCCAGCAGCTCTTGAGCATCCTCCAAAGTTTCCCGTGGTGTGGACGGATGGCTGTGACATTTCAGCTGAAATCTTTGTAAATGGAGCTACAGGGCAAAAAATGCTCCTGCTTCCACCACATCATTAAACTTATTAGAGTCCAAGGACGTTTGCCAGGAACCAGCTGCAAGCACCAACCTGCCACCGCTCTGGCCCAGATCTGCTTCCATCCTGTGTCTCTGTGGCTGTATGAGACACGCTGCTGCTGCGTGGGGCTCGTTAATCCAACAGCCATCCCCATCCCAGCACTGTGCCTGCACCTGGCAGGGCACGGGGAGCCCGGGGGTCCCCACAGGACAGCTGGGGCCTTTGGGGTCAGGGGAGAACAGGACATTTGCACAAACACCCCAACAGGTACATGCTCTGTTATTTGTTCACCACTTGAACAACGCAGTGAAAGAGGCAGCACAGATGCCAGTGCCAGTGGCACCCAAGCCACACTGTGCTGCTGGCAGCTGGCAGCACAGGGCAAATGTTCCTGGTGCCACTCGCGTGGCAAATGTGGCAGGTCACCAGGTTCCAGTGGTGAAGGCAAACCCACGGGTCTCTGCAGCGTGCTCTTCACTTCAAACAAAGACACCGAGTGCCAGCATCTGCCCGAACCAGGATTACCCTAGTTCCTGTCCCAAAGCCTGGTCCAGGAGCTCTGCTGGTGCCTCTCTGCCCAATCCCTCTCAATCTGCTCTGGCAGACCTGCTGTGGCCCAGTCGTGGGCTGGAGCCTCCCACCGCCTGCTCCGGGAGCCCTGGGCTGAGATGGCCAGTGCAGCCTGTGCTCCCCAACTCGCCAGACCCAGCTGTGCAACACCTCATTGCAGGGAAGAGGGTGGCACCAAGAGATGGACACCTCTCCTCTCTGCTGCTCTGGGCGAAGGGGAGAAACACGGCCTTGGGTGTGGCTTTTGTGCAGTTACAGACAACAGAAAACACTCGGGCATGCAAGACTCATCCTGGCCTCAGCCAGTGGCTCCTTGGAGCCCGACGGACTCCCATCATGGCTCTTTACAGGCCCAGGGGTGGGGAAGGGGAGGAAGGGACGTGGTCCAGAGCGGGCAGCAGCGGGCACTTGCAAGCAGAGGAGAGCAGCGGCAGGTACACGAACAACTGAGAGACTGATGTCTGACCTGTTCATATTTCTCCAGCTCTGTGTGATAGATTTGTCTGATCTGGGTCAATTTGGCTCTGTAATCTGAGTGTTCAATAGAGTTATCTGAAGACCCTCCAGAGGCTGCTGCGGCTGCAGCTGCTGCCGCCGATCCCCCACCTTTCTCCGGACCTGAGACTCCTTCTGCCAGAAGCATATTGTCTAGTCTCATTAGCTGAGGATCGGGAGGGTCTTCCTCCTGGGCTCCTCGGATGCTCAAACCTTAGGCAGAAAAGAGAGAACAAGAGAAAACACAGTCAGTATTTCTGCATCTGCCCGGCCACTGCCCGCTCGCTGCACGCCTGCCAGGAGCCCTCTGCAGCACCCGCCGTGCCCGGGGCCACGGGCACCTGCCCTGCCCTGGCCTTGCCTCCAGCTCCCCATGGGCACCAGACCTGCCCTGGCCCTGCCTCTGGCATGGCCCCAGCACCCCAAGTGGCACCCCCCTCCACAGCTGGTCCCATGAAGCACAGACTGGTCAGTGCCACGGGGGGACAGCAGTGCCGTGAGACCCTCTCTGCTCCCACACAGAGCAGGACCATCTTCACGAGGTCTTTAAAGGATCCTGCAGCATTTTAAACACCTCACTGTAAGCACCAGAGGGGTGTTCACATGAGGACAGAGACATTTGCCTTCCAAGACCCAGCTAAGCCCGCGTAGGGCTGGCACTACCCTGTTTGTTATATCACTTTGGTGCAAGGCTGTGTGGTAAAAGTACATTATTTATTTGAAAATAATTGATTTGCTTCTCATTTCCTTCCAAATGGATATGAGCACCACGTTATTCTTAGGGAGAGCTGTCCCACTGGACTCCACTGCTCCCATGAGGCCCAAGTGTTGGTTTAAGATGCCTGGGGAAAAGCTGCCACTTGCTCCTCAGCTACAGGAGGCTACAGGGGGAAAGCAAGAAGATGCTGTGGCTCCCACCAGCACAAATCCCATGGATGTAGCCACTTCCACGTGTGCCCATGGTTTCTGGCTCCACATAGGTGGAGGGAATGATGAAGCCAGAGCTGGGAGCATCCCCCGAGGAGGCTGTGGAGGCTCCAGATCCTCCTCAGTGCCTGCTCACAGATTGGGGCTGCACAAGAAGGAGTTCAAGTTGCCCTTGGCTGTGCAGGGATTGGGATGCTGTCACGGTGCCAGGATACTGAGTGTGTGTTTAAATCGCCAGTGCTCTCACACTGTATTGTTGGGAACAACACTTTAAATCTAATTTTTGTTTTAAATCACGGATTTCCAACGCGCTGCTCAGTCAGCACCTTCTCTGCACCCTATAGATCAGGGCTGACAATTTGTAAGTGAGTCAAGTCAGGCCGGCACGGTGCCAGCTGGTGCCAACAGCACCAAAAAGGAAGTTTAAAAATAATTACAGTCGTACAAACCCACCAGAGCTGGTGTGGCTTCTTGAATCAACATTTCCATCAGAGGCGTAAGGCACCACGTGCCTCCCAGCCCAATTTAGTCTCACTCCTCCTCTGCTCTGCTACCAGTAAGTTCAACAGTGTCCTGGTTTTAATCCACACCAGCTCCCTTTTCCTTCTCATCAATGATTTCTACTGTTGTTTCTTCTTTTAGCTCCTGGACTCTTTCTCAGTCCATGTTTCCTGTGCTCTATTCCAGCTGCTTTTACTCAGCTGCGTTTCCACTATGGAACTCATCCCCCTCCCAGTATCTCATCATGGTCCCACTCTGCTCCCAGATGCAGATGCCCAGCCAAAACCTGCAACAAAATAATTTGGTAAAATTGCTGTGATTTCTGTATTATTTACTTCCATCAACAGGCGAAAGCTAAAGGGCTTTGTCTAAACTGACACAATCCACCCAGACTTAAATTAATATTCCAAATCCCCAACCCTTCTCTGTAAACTTGTCACAGGACAGCAAGTGGCCCCTAAGGTTTAACAGCAGGAGCTGATGCTGCACTGAGGCCACAGGAGCTGGCGAGGGGCCCTGAAGCACAACAGAAAGAATCTCAGCCAATGAGGGCAATGATGAAGCCACTCGGGTGTCTCACACGTCACCCAACATGTGCCCGGGGCTGGTGACAGAGGGGTGGCACACTGTGTTCATCTTCATCCCAAGGAAGGCTCCCACATCCAGGAGCATCCTGTCTGGAGCACGGGAGTCCATGGACACTCATCAACACAGGGATGTGTGTGTGGGACACACAATATTTATCCTGCCCCTGAGTGAGACATCACTCATTTGAATGGCAAAGCCACGAGCTGATTAACTGATTCTAACAAGAATTAAGCTGTGTGTTAATTCCAAGCTTTCCTTATGAACTATACGAAGCAGATCAGCACAACTAATAGTGTCTGGTGTCCCTGGGGGCAGGGGACAGCAAAACTGATGAACTCTCTGTCACCAGTGAGACGCAGCTCGTCGGCAGCAGCCCCTCAGCTGCAGGTTGAACAGTCCCAATGTTGTCTGGGAAAGACTCAGAGCATCTCCCAGGCCCCTCAGCACGGAGGAACATGGAGGAACACTGCTATCCGCCGGCAACACGGCTGCTCCTACCAGCACCTGCCTTTATAAATTACTCTTCGTTTGAATACAGTGATAATATATGTATTTTTTGACATATAAGCTCACACTCGGTGGCCATTGTTTCCCTCTTTTATCCCTCACTCTATCACCCTGTGAGTTTATTACTGTTTAGCTCACTGACCTTTCAATGCATGGAGGAATTAAGGTGCAGTGTAGACGGGGAAGAACACAACAATACATCACTCCCGGCGGAGCCACCGGCGCCAACGGCAGCCAGGGGAGAGGCCCCACAGCAGAGCCCACCCCACAGCCACCCACCACCTCAGAGCCCTCAACAACCCTGAGGGGCCAGGGCTGCCCCAGCCACACATGGCCACTGACGGGCACCTGGGGCTGCACAGGACTCAAACCCCCATCTGGTGACAGCAGCACACCGGGGGTTAACACAAAGCGTGTGAGCTCCTGCTTGGGATCTGCCTGTAACTGCACCGTGCATTTCGGTCTCTCCATGATTTAGACAAACCACATAAACAGACACTAAAACATTGTTTAACAATGAACTTGGCTTTGTTCTAAGACCACAGTTTTAGCATATCTTTCAGCAAATCGTAATTAGCTGTCTTTCAACATGCTGTGCACCTGCCCCCACACATAATAGACGAGAGCATCTGCATAGACTACTGCATTCAGAGGCCAATAAATAAATTGCAGGTCAAAATTATTACAAAGCTTTCTTCGAATAAACCCATCTCCTTCACAATACAAAGCTGCAGATATGAAAAGTACCTAAAGCCCACTCAAATGGTATGATTACAGGGGCTGTTGGAGTTTAATAATCTGACTGTAATTCAGGCATTTTCAACAGCTCATTAAGGGTTCATTAATATATGGGCAAGCTTTTGAATTATAAATAAGCAGATTAGAAACCTGCAGTGCCTGAACTGTACAGTAGTGTCCTCGCCAGCAGAGCAATATTGCCAACAAGGCAAAGGGCTGACCCGGGAGAGAGGAGGGGGCACAGGGAATGGTGTCCCCCCACATCCCCCTCCTGTCTTCTCCCCGTGGACTGGGGGGAGGTCCCCGTGCCACGGCGGGTCTGACCCTGCCTGGCACAACCCTGGCTCCTGCAGGAGCAACCCGAGTGCCTCTGCCACCAGTGGGAAGGTTCCCAGGGGGTTCTGAGCCCCTTTCACAGCCTGCAGGGAACAGCAAGTCCCAGGCGTGCAGAGGGACCCTGGCTCTGCCGCCGGCCCTGGAGCAAACCCACCCCCACGGCCCCCACGCTCCATCACCAGCGCTGTCCTGGGGCACCCGGGGGTCTGCCCTGGTGTCCCCACTGCCCCCCTGGCCCTGGGTGCCCCCCAGGCGTCGAAGGAGCGGCGCGGGGCGATGGCGGCACAGCCAGGGCTCCATCGCCCTTTGTCTGCGCCAGGAAAGCCCCCGGCGAGAGGCACCGGCGCGGCCGCGCGGCCTAATGTCACTCTCACTCCTACTTAAGGTGACTGCGTGGTGTGTGCACGTTTTTCATGTCAGGTATATTAAATATAACACGACGATGCACTGCACATTTCCACGCCAACCTAGTTGTCACTTTCGCTTGACTCATTCTCTATTGAGGAAAAATGCAGCACTGGGAATTTACAAGGCTTTTCAGTTAAATGGACATAAATCACAGGTTTCATTCAAACCGAATAATCACTGGCCATAAAGAGCTACTTGTCTCTTACCATATATTACAGTGAAGTTCCTGTGAGCAATAATGCAGCCATTCATGGCAAAGAAAAACAGAGCGAGACATTAAGAGCTGACATGTAATCCTGTTAGGAGCCTGACGTGGAGAGCGCGCCTGACATTTTTATCATATATGTCCATTTCTATTTGGAAAATCAGAATAATAAAAATGATTACTCCGCTGCCCAAACCCACCTTCCTAAAACAGCCCAGCGAGATTTGTTTACATGCCAGGAAACTGCTTACTACAAATTCATAAATCTCCGATTCTGAAGCATTTCCCCTGATGTTTGAATTGAAGATATGACTAGAAAGATTCCCCGTAATACTCTTCCACACCTCCATTTCCTTCACTACCAACACATAAACTGTCAATCCCTGGCTTTATTACATTCCCCTTCATTACGAGGCCGCTGGCAGGATGCCTGTTTCTAACCCAACTTTCCTCCTCATCCACAAAATCCCCAGTTGATGACCTTTGCTAAAGGTTCAATAAAAAGCAGGGTGGATGCTAATAAAAAATAATTAGTGTCTTTGTCTCTATGCAGGACTCAGACGTCAGCGAGTGGCTGGCTGGATTTATGGAGGTCTTGGGCTTTTCTGGTTGATGCTGGCAAAAGTTGAAGGGAAATTTATTAGTTTCAGAAAAAAAATTCTATTAAAAACAAAGCTAATTACAAGTGAAAAAAGCCTTATTCTGAAACATCATGGAGATGCTGTTAAAGGAAAAAAAGCAGTTTGGAATGAGATGTGTCTCTACTTTAGCCAGCAGGAGCAAGATGGGGGACCAGGAGAGGCCGTGGCAGTGCTGCCACCACTCTGGTCACACGGCCTGTCCGACCACACTGGGCTAATTTGGGAAATGGATCCCTGTCTGGCACTGGTGCCTTGTCACCCCCTGCCTGGCACACCAATCTCCTGTGCCTTTCTTCCAAAAGTGACCAATGCTCTCGTGGACCGCCCAGAACCAGAAGCTTCCAGGCAGAGATGCCCCAGGC